GCCAGTTTCCCTTAGAAAGTCCTCCACGAAAGGCATCCCTCCCCTTCGGCAGATAGCCCTAGTGTGCTTTGCCATAATTGAATACACCACCACCACACCAGAAGTGCTTGCAATTATACTACGAAGGTACGCGGTAAGGAGACCAAAAATATCTGTTAGGATTGCTATTGATCTGGAAATAAATGTTAAGCCCTACAGACCTTACTAGCCCTCTGACTGGAGCGGGAGTTTTGATCTGACATGAATATTTGCATTTAAATAGCCTTTATTAGGTAAATTCATATATTTACTTATTTTTGTCTCTGTTTTCATAAACTTACATTCATTAAGATGCCATTTCTATTATTAAAGAAAGTAAGAAAGCAAAATATCTCAAATTATAAGCTAATAGAGACCAAGTGACGAAAAAAATCTCATGACTGGATAAAGCTTTACATGGCGCTCAGAGGGCTAGAAAAGATTGCGAGTTAGAGCTAGGTCTTAGTCATAAAATACAGAAAAAGGTTTAATAAAAAAGTAACCTTTTTGTATTAAATCTAAACCGAACATAAGGCGAGAATTGCGCTACAGGCAAATCACCCCTAGTGGCTGTTTAACGCTCACAACGTAGTCTAAGACTACACATTCAATAAAATAAGCTATAAGCTGGCTCAGTATTTTATCGGCGCATAAGTTCAAATAAGTTTAAAGCTACCGACTAGAGAATACGTAAAAAAGCCAGAATGACGCTTTTAATAGAGTTAGAGAGACAAAGTAACAATCGGCACGAGTGCCAAAATCTCTCTCTATCTAAGATTAAAAATCCTGAGCTTAAATACTTTCAAACCTAATTTTCATTCTGTGAGAAATACAGTAGGAAGAAGTTATAGTAAAGATCAAAATCCTTACAACAGTTAATTAACCTGAGATATGTTATAGTATTACAGTGTAAGTAGAAATAAAGCCGGGGAGAATATTTTTTGTTACTTAAGTAATACGTGTTTAAATAACGCAAAAATATTTAAGAGATCACGATATGTTATCGAAAAAAGAACACGATTTTATATTTTGATTATTGTATTTTGTTCTAGGTTACAGTATTAACTTGTAATATTACAACGAGAACCAACGAAATGCATTTTGCGGGGGATGCCTGAAAAGGCCACCGCATCCTTGAACGCACAAATTCACGCGATGACGTACGTCTCTCGCCATTTTATTGAAAGTGATAATTTCGATATTATACCTGGCGGCCAAATACATCTATTCGAACAGCAAACATTTTTCATTGTTGCGGTAAATATTGAGACTAATAGTAGAACTCGGAGATTTATGAATCATAGTGTATAAATAATACATTGCGAAAGAGATAAGTAAATATTTTGTGTGACTAACATAAAAGTGAACATAAAAGTTCTTATGTGGCCTTTATTTTTGCAATCATTGTTCGTAGCAATATAGATACAATATCAAAAGTGGTTTAAGTAATGAAAATAGTTTTGTTATTGCATTTTGAAATATAAAAGATCAATTTCGTAATATTACGAAATCTAAAGATTTACGTTACTTTTTACGCCGTTTCTGTTTACAGTTATCGAATACAAGTTTATACTCATTGTAAAAATAAAAAACAAAATTTTGAAAACTACGATCATGTTCAAGCGTCGTATACAAATAAAAAGCTTGCATTTTTACTGAACTAAAATAAAATATCACTTTAAAAAAGATTTTTGATATTAATAGATTAAATAATGGTAAGTGTTGCGCAGATTGTCGGAAAACATTTTGATTAATAATAACTTTCTTTCAAATAAAACATGTTATTGACGAATCATAAAAAAATCGTGTTCTGGATCTAATGAAGAATGCAAGCTTCAGTACTAGTACATAGCTTAAATTTAACATTATTTGCATGAAATTAAAAATCAGAAATATTTCTAATTTATGTAATTTTTATATGGTCATTAGGTTATAATTGTAAATTAATAAAACTGCATGAGAATATCAATAAGGATTTTAGAATCTGAAAAAATTATGAATTAGAATCTGAAAATTTATAAATTGTGTTGAAATTATTCAGTGTAACTACATCTAATAAAATTATAAGTATAGCATGTTGCACGCTAATAAGTCTGATAAGTTATCACCGAACGGCATTAAAGGAAAAACAATCAACCTCTGATTATCGTAATTTATTTTTTAACCAATCCTTTCAAAGCAAGTCGAACACGATGTAAAAGATACGAAATTTTAAAATAAAATATCGCGATAAGCTAAAGTTTTGTGTTTTACTTTTATAATAAGTAAAACTTTTACTATGTATAACTATAATGTCTGTTTAGCTAGTTATACGAAGATTTAATTCCACGTATGTTACTTTGATAACGTAAATTATACAGTGAACAAAAATCAATATAAAAAAAACAGTCGTTCAAACCATTTTGAAAACAAAACTGGAGGAATTTCGTTATATATCTATATATATTTCACGTCTTTTGAATAATGTTGAGAATTTTTTCAAACGCCAGGCAAATACCCATTATCTGTTGTTCTGTTTTCTATGATATTGCCAAATTGTATTTCCTAGTCTAAATTTTCTTATTGAATATTACTTTAAGCTGCACTATTTGACTCTGCAATCTGAAATTCAAAAGCAGTGGAAGGAAAAAATAGAAATGCTGCACAGCTGGAGTTTATTTCGAAGGGATCTCAGTAAACTCCCACAGGAGAGCTTACGAAACTAGATCAGTTGAAGGAATAGCAAGATGTATTTGCACAAATTGCCGATGGAAATACTGAAAAGAATGCATGAGTATCGAAGAGAAGCTTTGCATAAGCAGATAAATTGGTCTAACAGAATAAAATCTTCCGACGAATGGGTTGATACTATGCGCAATTACTACGGCCACTTTTTTTCACAAGTACAGAGATTACTTCTTTTATAAACACTAAGAAAATGTTTGGTTACTTTGTAGCTAAAACTATTGGGGGGGACGCTATTAAACTGAGTGGGAATACATTAAGGGAAAATACTCATTAGAGGCATTAGATAGACAATCGAGGGAAAAAAAAAAAAAAAAAAGAGGCAGAAAGATACTGTAACCGTATTATTCATTTAGTGAATTTGAAGTAAAATATACAAATATTATATTGAAACAGAAAATGCTATGATAGAAGAATAGTAAAAACTTGTGGATTTCAAGAACAGAGGATTTATGAGCAAACAGAAAAATTAAAACTTCATTTTAGTAATAAAACTATTCTGTTTTAAATACTGATACATACATTATCAAGATATTGTCATTAGTGAATCTATTTATTAAAGTTAAAATCAGTTCTGATATCAATATTAACAGTCATTAATTTTGTGTTAGCAGCAGCTTCCCAAATATTGCTGAAGCAAATGTACTAGAAAAGAAATTCACTATTTTATTTGTATATTCTGTTCAAGCATTGAGTTTATATTATTCAAACTCGTATCTGAATTCTTAAAGCTGTACGTAAAACACGTAAGATTTATGAAATATCAAGTCCCTTTATTAAAGTCTTAAACATTTAGGACTTAAAAAATATCAGGTCCCGTGATTAAACTCTTAAACATTTAGGACTTAAGAAATATCAGTCAAGTGCCCAAAATTTTAAACATTTTAAGTTCAAATAAATATGCGTTAATAGTAATAACAAATATAACTATCACAGTGCGCTTTGTTACGTGCTATTAGACATGGAACCGTCTAGAAATATATAATATTTGTAGAGGGATATTAAAATAATTTTTACAAACGATAAAGTGATAGCGTAGAAATGACATATAGTATAAGAGTGGCTACGTGAAGTTCTCTTGGAATATTTTAATTAGAAATTGTCATTGTTAGTAGTCCCACGATTTCATTTTAGTCACATGTGACGAAGAATACTCTGGTAAGTCAGAAAAAAAGTATATTTTAGTATTTAAAGCATAATTACTCCAATGCATGAAAAATATTAAGAACGGAAATCTGCCATAGCATGCAAGAAATGAATCAGTAGCACTTATAATATTATAATTTAATTATAAAATATATTGTATTTTTAGGATTTAATTATATAATACAGAATAGACCTAATAATACGTGTTACAGTAAAATATTTAGTTATTAGCCTGTGATGTTGCGTGGCCCCAACTTGCCCGCAACAATAGTAGTGACTGCTATGAACTGGAATCACACAAACTCTGTTTAACTCCCCTTTTATTCCACTTTAGAAGTTACAGATGCGTTCACTTGACGCTCAAAAATTACGCCGACCCGGCGGTTAAATAAAAATAAGAAAGTACAACTAAAAATGAATAAATAACAAGTCACTACCTATGAGGCTCTATAAACGTGCTTAATTAACCGCGTTCTAAGATACAGCTGAGATTTCAGCAAACTTTCTTAATAAAAAGTTGAAAGATTCAACTAACTGCCGAAGTAGGTTCACAGGCCGAAACGCGCGGTTCTTAAATTTCTACCTAGCAACCTTCACGCTCGAGAATCAAGAAAGCACACTTTCGAACTCGTTTCCCTTCTATTTAACTTAAATTACTTCCGCTGACAATTTGAATACTTTGCGCGTTCTACTAAAATTTACATACTCTGGCATTGGCAATTCCAGGGGAAAGTAAGGCTTGACAGGAAAGATTGCTTAAACTTAAAATAAATGTTAGTTAAAATAAATATAAACCGTACAAGCCTAATAAAATATTAGGTATTGTTTGTTGGAAAGACAAACAACTTAAAAAGTTTCATTCCAGTAATTTACAACTTAAAAAGTTTCATTCCAGTAATTTACTGCAAATTTTAAAATCAATAAAAACGAACTTGGAATAATATATTTTTTTACTTGCATTGGACTGATAGATAATAACTAAATATAAATAACTAAATAAATTAAAGAATGTGTTCCCAATATTCCATAAGTACTGAAGTTTTCCTGAAAATATTTTTGAAAATTTTAGAAACATATTTCGTTACTCTAAGAAGTTTAAGAATTACATTTACCTGCTGGCACAATTCTAAATATGCAAGGCTCCTTTTGGCTGCCTATGCTGTTACGACCCCAGCATTGTAGTATTCCATATCCTGTTTCATTCTTCGGTGAGTATACAAAGATATTGCGATGCTCTTCACTACTCCAGTTCTGTAAGACAACTGTTTCTAGAGTGTTGTTGAATGACCACATGAAAAGAACACTATGAGGATCAGCATCGACATCACATGTCAAGTTTAGAGCTTCTGTTTTTGAGACTCCGTAAATCTTCGTGTCCGGAGACTTGCACACGGGAGCAACTAGAAAAGGAAAACATAGTAACAATTTTTAACGATAAAAGAATACATAGGATTTTAAATGAAACCATTTACAAAACAACTGTATTCTTCTGAAGTGTTTTTTGCTTCAGTTCTGTCGTTATGGTCATAGTATTTCGTTAGAGCAGTGATTCTCAACCTTTTTTGTACCATGCAGCCCTTTCACCATTACTAGACCATCATTACCCCCTTCCTTTTCAAAATTCAAAAACACATATACAGTTTTCTAAATTTAGATTGTTTCTAGCGTAAGTTAAACAAGACAAATTATAGAAAATGCAGATAAATACCAAATTTGAATAAAAGTTGTAGGGTTTATATTTATTTTAACTAACATTTATTTTAAGTTTAAACTACCTTTCCTGTCAAGCCTTACTTTCCCCTGGAACTGCCAATGCCAGAGTATGTAAATTTTAGTAGAACGCGCAAGGATTCAAATTATCAGCGGAAGTATTCTGAGTTAAATAGAAAGGAAACGAGTTCGAGGTGTGCTGTTCTTACTTCACGAGCGCGGAGGTAGTTAGCCAGAAATTGAAGACCCCGCGTTTCGGCCTGTGTGCTTGCCTGGAAGTATTGTTAATCGTTCAACGTGATCTTCAAGTTTGTTGAATTAGCAGCGGTATTGTAAAACGCGGTGAGGTTAGTTACTTTTAGAGAGCTTCGTAGTTAGAGTCTTGTCTTTAGTTTCTTTTCAGGTTATTATTTTTATTTTACCGCCAAGTTGGCGTAGTTTGTGAGCGTCAAGAGCACGCACTTGTAATTTATTACGTTGAATAAAAAGGGACTTAAACCCTTAACAAGACTCTGTCTTTTATCCAGTTTCAACAGTCACCTCTTGGTTGCGTGCAAGTTGGAGGCGCGCAACGCTACAAAGTAATCTTTTATATTCGTAAACCCAAATTAAATACTTAGCAGATGTATAAAAGACTGACCGTATTCCCCTTGAAACTATAAAATCTCCCTTGGACAAAACCCATTGTTTTAGAGATACAGTGCATGAATGCGTACGGAATAATTTTACAGTATCTTTATATAACAGGTACTAAACAGCATATCTTCTTCAGAATACCTGGACATTTTTATAGTAAGGGATTTAAAGTAATAAGAATTAAGGCATAAAAATAATGAAACGTTTGGTCTAGAAAAACACTATTTATGAAGAAATTTATAAAGCCACATTATCACCTTGGGGTACTGCATATTCTTGACGAAGACCCTACTCCTTTAACATACACGGAAATCGTCCATTATGATTGCCTGATTACCATCTTCGTCATATCTTGCCTACGTTGCTTAGATGACAGAATTTTAGTTTGATGTAATAAATAGTTAATTGTCTCAGAAGCCTTCCAATGTAATCATCTACATCTAGTTTGTCGGAGCTTTTAACATTTTTATTCACATTATTATAATGATGGATGGATGGGTTTGATAAAGTTACCTTTTACAAGGAAAATCTCATTTTGGCTAGAGCAAGGTAATAGTACCTAGACTAAAGAATTGCTCAAAATAAGGCCAACACTTTTGGCCAACACTTGGTGACACGAAAAAGTGGGGTGGCATTCAGCTTTATCAAAATGAAGCATTTATCCGTCACCAGAGTTTTTATCCGTCCCCCGAATCTTTTTGTGTTTGGTAGCTTTCCAGACATTTAACAGTAATAACGTTATTAGCCCAAAAGGTGTTAGCCAGAAGGTCAATTAATTTCCTTTTGCCATTTTGCGTTGAAAATTTTAAATGTCAGTTCAATTTTAAATTGTTGCCACAAAATATTAGAGCCCTATATAATATTTAAAGAAATTAAGTAATGAAAAATCCGCGTAAATGTATGCGTGGGAGGACATACTACGCTACGTCTTATGACTATGCAGAATATCGGAGGTTAAAAAAGAAAATATGGCAGGGCTAAGCAGTCTTTATATTAGGAACTAAAGAATGTTTCTTCGAAACAAGGTAAAATCTAAAGGATCTTAAATCGAAAAAAAAAATGGAAGGAGAACTTAAAATAATTTAAATACGGGAATAAAACTCTCCTCCTCTTCAAAGAAAATCAAAGAATTCTACCCTGTTGAATCAAGTGCATCTTGTTAGATAAATCTGATACTGAAACTGAAAGTGTTCTGGAAAAATAAAATCTAAGCTTTTATATGAGTTAGTGTTTATATAATATGCGATCTACTCTTTTTATTCTGTTACTCATTTCTTACATAGCACTATTAAAACGCTGTTTTTAAATTCGAAATTGCGATCAAATGCAAAGAAAAATAATTAAGACAACAAATAATTTTAGAATCGTCATTTAAAAAAGAAATAAATAATTATAAGTGGCAGGCCACATATTACAATATTATTCCAAAGGGGCTTTGTCTCTGAGGGGCTACTGTTTTCGTTTTTTGTGTCGAATCACTCTGAATGCGCCTTTTACTTTTCAGACTGTTGCCACCAAATATTACTACCCTGTATTATGTTTGAAGAAATTAAATAATGTAGAATCTGCATAAATTTATGTATGTTTCTCGCATTGTGATGAAACAACGGTACCTACAGCCATCCAATTTTGAATGACGTAATCCTACTGCTAATATAATCATCTGGAAACCCAAATTTTAAATTTGGAATTTGTTTTATTATCTATTTCATATTTTGTAAACTTTTAACGAACTTTTGATTAACGAACTCAACGATTTCAAAGCGAGCAATGGCAACACTGTACGAAGAAAAAAAATATCTCTTGCGCGCGAGACTGTGTATCGGAAATTCTAAAGATAAGCTCATTTTAAAATTATTTTGCGATATTGCTGATGAACTGAATTGCATGGTTTAAGTGCGAAGAACATGATATTTAATAAATAAAGGTAACATACAAAACGTTGAAAAAATGCTCCTTTGGGCATAATATAAAATTTAAAAGCTTTCAGACTTTTGCTATTGAATTTTTTCTGCCTTTTTGTATGTTTTCGTTTATTTTTTCGTCAAATGATAATTTTTCCTACACTCATTACCAGCGTACTGAAAATGCGTTTTGCCAAAGGTCAAATCTGTTGGTAGGATATACTTTTCATATGCTTGTGTTTTTCCAGGGCATATGTTTTGGTCTTTAATTTCGTTGTTGCATTTTGGCATTCCTATTGTACACATTGATATAAACTGCTGTAGATATAACTCATAATAATCATTTAGAATCCGCAATTACATTGAAGGGAAAGTAAAATATACACATCATCACCATCACCATAATATCCACGCTTCCTATATGGAGTATTCCAGCATTTTTTATTACTTTCAACAAAGACAACGAAATTTTATCAGGTGTTATTTAAAAGATACAGTAAATTAATCCCAAGAGTTAACGCTGTCACATAAAATTAAATAGTGTTGCGTTTATACACGGCTTTGTAATTTTGGAGTGATTAACGACGACACTTGGTGAAGTATCAAAACACAATTTATTTAGCCAGTATTACTGAGGACAGCTCCAAAGAAACGTTGGAACTCTACGTACTCTTGAGACTCTCCTCAATACAACTCGCGATGCACTCGACGATACACTCGATAAACTCGACGTTGCACTCGCTAGACTGGCGATACTTCGACGACCAACTCGACACTAGACTGACGATCAACTCGATAGACTACGAGACACACTATAGACTGGCAATCGACTACTACTTCGCGTACAGGAAGGGCTTATATTGGTTTTGGGCTGCTTTCGAGAGTATTCCGGGTCAAACCGGTAAGAATTCGTTATGGAAACCTCTCCATACTTCTATGGCATATCGCCAATTTTGCCGCCAAATGAGCGATTTCTGACCGAATATGGCAACCCTTAATCCGCCTTCCTAGGAAGCTATCTTACTGCAGCTGGGCATTTTGTAACAATATATACAAACTTCTCTTTTTTTATTCGGAAATACCTGTAATGCAACATATATATTACTAATAATTTAGTGCTATATAAATGACACTGAAGTATATGTTATATATAGTAAATGATACCAAAAGTTTGTCTAACATAGAAAATGTGAAGAAAATTCTACAGAAAATATTCTAGTTTTAGATTATAGTAATAAGAACATTATCGGGAATACATATTTGCATAAAAGGTTACCTTCATTAAAATAATGATTTCGTTCGTATTCTATAGAATAATTTTCAGTTCAATTTATATTCATGGAAGCCACTTTTCGTGGAAATGGAAAGCAAATCTCACTTCACTTTGCGTTAAATTTTCACAAAATAAAATCTAGCAAAACTGACGTACAAATTACATTGTTGTAATGTAGACTTTCTTTTGCTATTATATAAAATTTGAGAACATGAATGGGATATGATAAAATTGGGGTAAATAACATATTTTAGCTATTAATTTTTATAGCAATTTAAGGTAACTGATTAATAAATACTCTTCTGGTAATAAATATATTATATGATAAAATAAAAGGTAAAATAAACTGAACGATGAAGAAACCAAAAATTAGCGACACGAAGTAGCATAACATAAATAAAAATGCAATTATTTATTCCATGCTTTCGAAGGTCAAACAAAACATTCCTGAGCGGTAAGTATTAAACTGAGGCAATAGGAAACACGTGGTCATACAAACAAAAGAAATTTCATAGGAACAAAATATAAAGGTAATTTCGAAGTTTTTTTTCCCCCTCAACTGATAAAAAGAAAATGGTTAGAGTAATTCATATCAGATAATTCTTAATCCGAATAGTACTAAATATTTATCTTTTGTCTTATGTATATTGCTTAAAAATTTAATTTTGCATATGAAAGAAATTTATGTTAAATGTCTAGTCTTCAACACAGCACGCACATTCCTCAACAGCTAACAATGCATGGCTGATGTCTGTATTCATCGCCTAGAAACGAAGATTATAATGCATTTTCTTCTTAGCATGCCTTTGTGGTGTAATGGTTGGCACACTCGACGCGTATTCGAGAGGTCCGATGTTCGAGTCCCGGTGAG